CACGCATGATGTAACGCCGTTACTCAAGCGAAACATTCTCTCAGATAGTTTTCCTACGTGATTTTGCCGTCCTAAAGATGGCACATATGGTTTCTGCAGCCATCAAAACGAGCATCGGTCGACGGTCTAATAAATTGCTGTAAAAAAGCGCACGGACAGCCCAATAGACAAAATGTTTTGCTGATCGTGTACGGCTTCCACTCTAGGCAAGGTAGGCCATATTTGTAAGCATCGCTGCCTTCGCATCAGCATGAGTTTCCTCGAGATGATGCAGCTCGCCAGAATTTTGATTTCATCGGGGAGATATTGGTCCGTAAAGTGCAGGAATGGTGCCAAATATAGACTGAATCTGGGGTCAGATACGCTACAATATTGTTCCAGGGTAAAAATTGATAGTATGTTATGGGTAATTTATGCATCATTCATAACTAAGTATGCAACGCTGAGCATTTAACGTAAAAGTTGTCTACTGGATGTCACTCTAAAGAGTCGCTGTGTTAGACGCTACAGGGGAGAAATCAAAGCCATAGTACGACATTTCATGTAATTCCCGTGCTAACGCCCACATCCTTGAATACATCAGTCGTTTAACGCGCGCTCGGGTGGGAGAGGTCAGATTGACCCCCCGAAAGCTTTTCCCGAATGGTTCCGAATGGCGCGGCGTAGCGGCGCCAAATTTTGCATAGCTGTAGACAACTGAATAGCGGATCGTTTGGTGACAAGGAAATTCGATGACATTGTCTCGGTCCCTGATCAGATGATGTTGTGAATGTCCCTGAAAGATGAAAAACTGTTGCAAAACAAGCTGCAAAAGTGAAGCCAGCAAGAGGAGTCTTTCTAGGGTGGTAAGAACCCCCAAGGTGGGAGTTAAGAGGTCAGACAGTGTATCGGTTCCTTTCTTTGTACAGAATGGTATGCGTCAAGGGGGTAACGTCTCACCACTGCTGTTCAATGTGTACATAGTTTAGCTTCTTCGTGAGTTGCAAATGTTACCAATCGCTTGTTATGTGGTGAAATGAACAGCAAATGAACTAGTCTCTGCCAATAACACAGTGCTTTTATCTATCACGAGGAAAGGGCTTAAAGCGTTGAGTCGTAGCTGCCAAGTATTTGTCATGCGCAGGAATATTCAAATCAATGTAAAAAACTATGCATGTTTTTCGACTCTCAAAGGTCATATACAGTGCCACACCTGTTTAACTCTAAGCTCCCAAATATCATTGTTAATGAATACATAATAAGATGAGCGGAGGAGCTTAAACATAGGCCCTGTAGTGGCCAGTTCTCTCAGTGGCAGTCAAGTTACGCAAAGAGTTAAAGGTTTCTTGTATGACGGCGTAAAACTTTGATCTAACTGTTCCAAGCATATTATACTAGCGTGTATATTGTGAACTGTGCAACACTGTGAGTGGATAGAAAGGATTTCAAGAACGCTGCATGGCCTACCACTTATGTGAAGAGAAGCTGGTAAGGGTGCCACGTTGGACAAGGATTCATTATCTGTGTAAAGAGCTTGAACCTCTACCTATGAATATCTGGAAACAGCTTCTTTGGATATGTGGGAAACGATCTCACCTTAAGCAGTGCTTGTTGTGTGAGCTCTGACCCCTACCATCCGATCGCGCGATTCCAGGCAACGGCAGAATTTCATGGCGTAAGTTTAACGTGCCGCAATGCTCGAGACGGTCCGTCCTGCCCTCTGACGTCACTTGACCTTTACCACGGCTGCTGCCACCGGCCGCAGGCAATACCTGACAAGCGCAAATAGCGAGCGCTCAAAACGACTCGAGCGCATCCTGGCATGGGTGGCAGAATCGGAAGGCTATAGCTCTAACCAACTGAACCAACGGGACGGGAAAGTCTCGTTCCATGTTAGTACCTATCTAGTAGCTGGAGTTCAACCAAAGACTCATGTCCATTGAGAACAGCGCTATTGAGGCATTGCATGTAAGCGAGGTAGGGGCTAGTGGGGTCATTGCCAGGACATGTGCGCATGTCAGACATGCATATAATTTTATGGCATCGAACCTCCCGGCAGTCAGCAGGTCACATGTTCGGAACATCTTTTCGCCCACCTGGGTCGGTTTGGCCGTGATCGCCACCAAATGCACCAAGTAGGTCATGACCCAGAATAATGTCCTCCGACCTTTCAGGCAAGTACTGACTGCGTTGCCTTCTGTCTTGATTTATGCTTGTGAGTGTGCTACGTTTTTCCTTTATGTGCGAAGATAGGTACCGGTCTGATGGTGGAAAAAGAACTGGATTATTAATATCATTATTGCTATTAAACCAGACGTGTCTGATCTACCTATTCGTAAAAGGTACAAAAAAGCAAGATGATCCCTTTCAGACCCCCAACGGGCGTGTGCATCAGGTATCGAGGCGGTATTCGCCCCCCAACGCACCCAGGAGAATCACGCTCCTATGAGCAGTCACGATCATATGGTGTCAAATCTTTGGTGGTAAAATAACCTTTTGGTTCTCTGGAGCAATGTATACTCATATCTCAAATCTGCGTCACAATTGTCAGCATTTCAGACCGTCACGCAAACAGAAGTTGTATCGTACTGAGTGACTCCATGAGTTCAAGGACGCTTAAGTTCTGGAAGGTTTCAGTCGTATTGGGAAGTAACCAACTCATGAACTACAGGTCAAAAATTTTACAAATTCGGCCAGGCGTGCGGAAGATGGAACAGGGATGTCTGCCGCTGGTGCCGGAAACCTCACAAGTGTCGCTCGTGTCGTGTCAAGTGTCCACGTGTCGCTCGTAGCGTGTCACATTGCAGCAACGAGTTTCTGAACGGAAACTATAGTACATTCGTTGGTACTTGTGTGCCTTTATATACCTGATATACCAAAACCTTATGGTATTCTCAAAACATACGTCGTGCGTTTAGCGCATCCTTCTATATTTTTACTATTTATAAGACATGCATCTGCTGTGAGTTGTACTCTTACAATGAATACGAGAGGACAGAAAACACAGGTATCGCTCAATGGAAGTGATTTTAGTGATATAAATCAAGTTCAACGTTTGATTTTCGATTTGACTCTCATGTTGACGTCATGCATAAAAAATAACAGCAGAAATGGGCTCCCTGCCATCCAAGTTCTCTCTACAACGGTCTCACACGACCGTCTAGGTCAGCAACATAAAAGTTCGAGACTGGATTAGCATTCTGAATTCTGGGAAATGTGCAAAGATGCGCCAGCAGCAAGACAAGGAAATTTGGCCTCCTGACTACATTGAACTGGTTACATAGAAGATTTCCGTTACTCTTTCGTGGCAGCTGACATTGCAGGGTCTCATATAAAAAGTACGAGGATGACAACTATTCCACACGTGCGCGGTCAGGTGGAAACGTTTTCTACAGCGCATGTGTCGTGTATGTAGCACATGTTTATATATCTACGGTATATAACACATGCTGCCTCCGTGAGTGGCACCCCCACAATGAGTGCAAGAGGACACTGCACGACATGTATCGATCAATCGAGATTATTTTCGTCATTCGTAATCATCTTTTTTTTCTTTTTTTTCTATGCCGTTACCCAAGAACAGGTAACCAGGAGTGCCCTCCCTCAATCCCAGCGACGCAGTAAACCGTACGTTAACACCAGAAAACATAAAATCAAGTCGCGGCACTCCCAGCTAGGAAGATGAAACAAACTTTAAAAAAACAGGCGAGGAGGTGGAGCAGACCCGAGGGAATTGTGTTATGTGAGAGGTAGGGAAAAATCATAGATGAAAAGGCTTAAAGTAGTCATTAGCCAAAATCAGCTAATGACAGCCCGCTACAACCGCCCAATAATCTACAACCACTCAATTCCCCGTGTTAGTAAGGGTTATACAGTCACAAGTCGGAGGGGGCAATTACCTGGTCATTTTTGTGCTGGGTTTTGGGCTGGATTTCCAGGGACTCCACCCAGCTAAGCAGAGCTTGTTGCTGGGAGAACACCTGGAGCTAGCGCCATGAATTTGGGTATATGTGCATGACTTTATATCAGAAATTGATTATGAAACATGAAGGAGGTCAAACATGAAGTGCGTTGGATATGTACAGCACAAGGATGGCAATGCCTTCAACTATGTTTGTTACGTTAATATGTGTTCACGAAATGCTTGCGGATGATGTTCTTAACGATGGTTTTCGATACAGGGATATAAGCTATTCTTGGAAAATATGAAACCATAATGTCGTTCCACAGCTTAGGGCCAAGGCAGAATGCTGTAAATAGTCTATAACTACGATAAGGGAAAGGTTGTTCTAAATGTTTTGCTCGCCTCATATCCACGTCATTGGATTCGTAGAGATTGTAAATTAAATCGAATGATGCAGGGAGCTGCGAAGTTAAAAATTTGTGCATCACAAATAACATTTGAGATTTAGCAACCTTTGACCTTTGACCGGCAACTTGGCCATGAATTTGACCCATTCGTGAAAACAAAGTGCAGAAATAGACTCCCTGTCATGGAAAATCTGTCAAAAATGGTGTCAAACGACCTTCTAATCCATCGATAGAAGAAAAAACGTTGAATGCTCAGATACCCAAGTGGTTACTAAGCTAATTTGGATCTCTAAGCAGCATGGAACATATTTCCGTGAAAAAAGTCCGCGGTACTCCACACTGCAGGGTGTCAGCAAGGAAGCATCAGAATGGCAACTCGACTACTAACACCATTCAACATCCTAATTCAACGATGGTGACTAACGCAACGTTTTATCACAATCGGTCGGTACGTTCCATGTACTTACATTCTGAATACGTTGCACGGGCCATGTCGGCATTGTCCTCTACGCCCTTCCCTGTGTGACTAAGCAGTAATGGCACGTTCGTAAACAAAGGTTATGGCTGATGATTTCACCTTGTTCTTGCAAATGTCGCCAGGCATGACAGGCTTGTTTGTTGACCTTTGGAGGGGACGGGATGATTGACGTCCCCTCCGCTTCCTGGTCCGTTTTTGCCAGTATAAAAAGCGACCAAAGGAAACATAGGCATATTCTGTTGAGTTGTCTATCACCAACAATGCGTCTGCTGCCATTGATTGCCGTGCTTTGTCTGGTGTTTGTGACCACTGAAGGTGAGTTTCTGGCGTTTTTCATGTTTGCACTTCAGGCAGTCAAGTAGAAATGTTTATGTCTGGTACATCTTTGGAAGTGAATATTACGTTTTTTAACTAAGAAGCCGGTCCATTTATGACCTGTTAATTACCATGCATTTTTTGAAAGTTGGTGTCGAATTTGGTTTTTGAATTTGTACCTTCGGCTATCAACTCATTTGCATATTTGCCTGAAAGTAGCGGTGGCTTCGCCAGGCAAAATTGGCAAGTATGTGCTAAGCGTTCTCGACCTGTGCTTTTCCCTATTTCCACCTATTTTAGCCAAACCATTCTGTCTTTATTTTCAGATGTTCAGCATCCCTAGATGTTTTCAAAGAACTGCACAGTTTTATGTCTGCTTTATCAAACTTTTCTATAAGTTTTAAGCTAGATACTTTGTTCATTACTTCCAAGTCGTTCCATGATACTGCACTATCAATTTTCACCCTTTTCAATGATTTTCCACCTTTGCCAAAGTAGATGCCACTAGTAGGTGAGAACGGCAGGGACAGCATGTCTCCCAAAATTAGCTGGTGGGCCTTCTACCCCGCTTTCAGATTTTCTGTAAGACCGATGGTGCAGGCGCCTTCACAAGAAAAACTGTCAGCTTTAAGTCTCGCTTCCTCACTTTTCTAGGTCCACTTTTCTTTTTTACCATGTTATGTCAGGTAAGCTGGTATGCTAATGATAGGAGTATTTTGTAGCAAACTGTCCCACAAACTGTGATCCGAATACGCATCTAGGCAAACCATCCAGCTGCTAAAATGACCCGTCTGAAGCTACTACTCATAGTAGCAGCTGCTATATTGAGCAGAATCGTTCCGGTCGACTGAACCACCCCAAGATGTCTTGTAGAGGCACCCCCGGCATGTGTACCAACCGGGTGGTGCGAAATCAACGGGATTATTAATATTATTGTTCCTATTAAGCCGGGCGTGTCTGATCTAGATATCAGCAAAAGGTGCAAAAGGGTGAGATGATCCATTGCTGACCCCCGAGCAATGTGTCCGTGAGGTATTGGGGAGGGGGGGGGATGGGCAATCACACCTCAACCAACGCAGGAGAATCATATATTCCCTGTGGGCGGTCACGATTGTATGGTGCTTTGTAAATCTATGGTGATTGTAAGCTTTGATCGTAAAAGAGCCTTTTGGTTCCCTTCAGCAACATACTAGACCGCTAGTCACATGCCAGATGTGCGTCCCGATTGTCAGCACTCCAGACCGTCGTGCAAACAGAAGCTATGTCGTGCTAAGTGACTCCTTGAGTTCTAGCACGTCAAATTTGTGGCAGGCTTCAACCGTATTGGTGAAGTAACCAACTCACGTATTGCAGGTGGAAGGTGTTACAGTTTCGGCCAGGCGTGCGGAAGATGGAACAGGGATGTCTGCCGCTGGTGCTGGAAACCTCACAAGCGTCTCTGCTGTCTTTGGGGCGACACCTTCAGTACGTTCCAGCCGTTGCCGCCCGGTGCTGAGCAAGCTTGTAGCCATGGTGATGTTGTGGCGCTATTGGCTACGAAACCCCAGCTCAAACTAGAGTCTTATGTAACATGTTCATGAACTGTTGTCATGCATCACATCGATAGCTTACATGTAAGGCCTTCCCTTACGAGATGTGCTATTTAGTTCTAACATACGCTCGGTTGTGTGTGAAGTTGCCCCGGATGCTTTGTTTCTTCAAAATGGATTGCGAACGGCACATCGTAGTCACACCGACCCTTGCATAGCCGTAGATAATTGCCATGCAAGAATTAGACGTGCCTTCCACAATAGCTTTTAAGGTCGCTGACCTATTGCAAGCTAAAATAGGGCCGTGGCTCTCAGCGAATGTCATTTCAAGAAATTCTTATGTTTGAAGCGACGACGAAGTGTTTGACGAAGCCATACATCTCTGAGATAGTTAATCGTGCCATAAACCAATTACATTTATAAAACAACAACTTCCATTGAAGTCGGCCAGGTATGAATGTCAGGCCGAAGTCAGAAGTAGCGTTTTATGTTCGAGGGCTTGCTTCAAGAGATAGTTTCTGGGGCTCATTTCGAAGTTAGCAAAGACAGGGATTGCAACATACATGATCCATGAACATCTAAATGTCAGGTTGAGTCACTGACCTAAAATTACCAAGATTAATATTTTGTTGTTAGGAACGTATTCCTAGCGGAGACTTTGATGATTTTTCAAGTGCAAAAGGGTCAGTCTTGTGTATTTGCGTTTGTCATGACTTTATTAAGGTCAGACAAGGTCACTGAACTTATATTGTCTAGATGCAAAGCAGTTGCACGAAAGGGTCTGGGGATACTAATCTGAAGTTCGATCTTGTTGACCTCGTTTGACCACAAAGTCATGACCTAGGAATCTATAATTTTGACACAAGTGATTTCACATATAAGCAGCCCATTCTCTTTGTTTGGTGTTTCCAGCTTTCATACTTTTGATATCACAAGGTGTCAAACTGACCCCCACCCGAGCGAAGGATGCTTAACCGGTCACATCGTCGTGTGTTAAAGATGCGATTTGTGTTTCGTTGTATTCATTTTCGTATCAAAACATCATCATATCAGATGCGTTTTGGCATCGAAGTCATAGGATACTCGCCCATGAGTAATACGTTCTTCTAGTTACGATAAATAACGAAATATTATTTCTACCTGTCACACACCATATACTTAACAATGTCCACCATGCACCATTGTGACGACCGATCAACCCCTCATTTCAGAGGAATGCAGAAGAAAATGTCGCTTCCCCCGTCGATGCAGCACATTGGGAGGTAGCTGTAGCAAAGGATGGTGCTGTATTCGGTGCAAAGGAAAACGTTGCAAGGGTTAACTGCACCAACTACTGTCGGCTGCCGCTGTCATCACGATGATGGGATAACGACAGAAGTGATGATGTGTCGCTGCATGCACACGGTATTCCTATTTTATGTTGAAGAAGCACTTTTGCAAGATCGTGTTCGATTTCCTGCACTTGTATTATGGCGAACCGGACAGGCAGCTTCTTACGAGAGGGTGCTATATTGAATACAATACGGGATCGTGTATTTGTTTACATCTGTTGTGCAAGTTTGAAGTGCCAAGGCGACGGCTCTCAAGGGGTGCCCATTGAAGCATGGGATCGCGGAGGACACCAGACTGCAGCTGTCATGTCACAGCAGGCACCAAGAGATATTACAGTCCCAGAGACCCCGCCCGCCCCGAAGAACCGCGCCTATGCTGCGAGCAGTTACAGTCATGTGGTGTCAATGCTTTGATCGTAAAATAACCTTTTGATTCTCCCGGGAGCCTATTAGACCGCTAAGCAATTACTGCCAGACTCTGTGCCAAGTTTTCACGTCTTAAGCTGTCGTCGAAATGAGCATTGAGATTTGTGGGTGACCCCATGTGTTCTAGCCACGTCAGAGCTATTGCAGGGTTTCAACTGTGAGCAGGTATTGATACCCACTGATATCTGTTAATATAACCCATCTGATGCGTTCTATTAGGTCAAAGGTGTTACGAATTCGACGAAAAGGGCGGGAAATGGAAACCAGTTGTCCGTCGCTTGCGTGAAGCCCTCGCAAGCGTCTCCGGTGCCTCCTTGGGCGGTGACACCTTCAGCACTGTCCAGCCGTTGCTGAGCAAGTGTGTTACCAGGGTGACGTGGTTTTAATCTTATGCACTGCGAAACTCCGCTAAAGCGGAGGCTGCCTGTGAGATGGTCATCTACTCTTGTCGTGCATCGCGTCGATAGCTGGCACGTCAGTCCTGGCTTTATCCGATGCGTCGATAGCTCACTTCAGTCTTCCTTTACCTGATGCGTCGATAGCTCACACGTTAGTCCTGCTTTACCTGATGCGTCGATAGCTCACACGTCAGTCCTTTTACCTGATGTGTCGTAGCTCACACGTCAGTCCTGCCTTTACCTGATGCGTCGATAGCTCACACGTCAGTCCCCTTTGCCTGATGCGTCTAGCTCACACTCATCCTACCTTTACCTGATGCGTCGATAGCTCACACTTCATTCCTACCTTTACCTGATGTGTCGTAGCTCACACGTCAGTCCGCCTTTACCTGATGCGTCGATAGCTCACACGTCAGTCCTGGGCTTTATCCGATGCGTCGATAGCTCACACGTCAGTCCTGGGCTTTACCGATGCGTCGATAGCTCATACGTCGTCCGGCCTTTACCTGATGCTTCGATGGCTCACACGTCAGTCCTGCCTTTGCCTGATGCGTCGATAGCTCCCACTTCATTCCTACCTTCACCTGATGTCGATGTTTACCTGATGTTTACCTGATGTCTGTCGATTGGTATGCTGCTCCATTGCATTGGTAATCACTTAGCTTTCTTTCCAATTTGGCATAGTGTTCATTTGGTGCGCGAATCCACCAAACGTAGCTTCAGCTCCGCGTGATATGCGGATCACGACCAACATAGCCCTAGGTAGTTCATCGGGCTCGACGCTACGTTGATATGCGCCGACCCCCGTAGCACCAGCACAGCTACAAATGTAATGTGAATGTTACAACGTCATGTCTGG